TCTCCCATAAAGGGCTTTGCTTACCCAACACTCCTTAGCTGGATCACAACTCCGAGAAGCATAGCTGGAAGGTTTTAAGTTTCGTTTCAAAATATAATCATTTTACAGCCAAGCATACATATGTATGTGTTTCTTCTCTACACCCAAACCTAAGCAGCTGCTACTTAATCCTCATCTCTTTCTTTGTGTAAAACATGCATGTAAAAGGCCTTTTTAACTCATGAGGGTGGAAGTTCAGGTGGGAATGAATCCAAGGGAAACTTTGGACTCACTCAGCAGGGGTGGGCTAGCTAAATAACAGCACCTTTCCCCACAGACTTCCCCTTGTCGTAGCTCTGTGCAAGGATTTCCCATCTGTCAGCTGGTGCATCCAGCAGTTACTCACTTGAGGAATCTAAGTTAAGTGTGGCATGTGTGGGAGTGTGTGCATGTGTGTGTGTGCATGTGTGTGTGTATGCATGTGTGTGTGTATGTGTTCATTGGAATGTGTGGGGGTTTCTGGGACAACTTTTCTCTACTTTTATTTTTATCTGCCTTTCATTTAGTCTCTGCCTTTGTCCCACTTTGATTTTAATTTTGGTCTCAGGCTTTTGTCATGGGAGTCTTTGCTTTATTGATTCCTTTTCATCCTTTAGGTATCAGTGCAAATGTTTCTTCTTTAGAGAGAAATTTGCTTTTCACACTGATTAATAAAAAAGTTTCTCCTGTTTCTATTAGGGGCTTCACTTAGGGGAAACTGAAAATTAAAACAGAGTAGTTAACTGTCTAGCTAAATGTTGAAGGCATGTTCAGTATGCCCATAGAACCATTCCATTTACTCTCTGCATTGCAGTTACAGCATTCTGTAATTATTCAGTTTGTTTATCTATTTACTTGTCTCCAACTCTGTATATAAAATCCACAGGAAGAAGAACATTGTTGTTCTTATTCACTTTCTTTTCTCTTGTGCCTTGTGTAGGGCTTGACACATAGTAAATGCTTAGAAAATATGTACCAAATTAATTGATTGATTGATTCACTAAGGGAACAAGGGACAAGAATACTAACGAGACAGTGCAGAATTGATATGAATTGCACATATTTGTATGGCTGGGTTAGGTTTTGCAAGGGCAGAGGGGAGATTTAGGGCCAAATCAAGCAGGCCTTGTATACTCTGCCGTGGCCACGATTGGACTTGATTCTGGAGATAATGTGAATCTATGGAAGAGCTTACATAAGAAAAGAGAAAGTCAGTCAGTTTTATGTTTCAAAATGATCAATGTGTCTGGGGTGGTGAATGGATTAGAATAGTATAAGACATGCTGCAAAGGGACCTGTTTGGACACTGTTGAAGTTATCTGGGTAACAGATGATAAAACTCCTACTTAAGGCCAACAGCAGTAGAAGCAAAAAAATATTTGAAAGACTTTAGATAGGAAAAACAAGTCTTGATTGAAAATGGGCAATGAATAAATTGGAATAAAAAAGAATATAAAGAGCACTCAGAAGCTTAAGTGGATCAAACAGAGCAAAGAAACACTGACATAAAGTGAGTCTGGTTTGGGTATCAGTGAAAATGGTAGAATAAGGGCCTCTGAAAGTCCTCTCCTCCATAAAAGCAATAAGAACAAGAGCAAACATTTTCAGAATTAACTTTTTAAAAACTGCAGAAATTAATAAAAGGTTTGGGGAAAATTCAGGGAACATTTAAGAAGAACAGCTGAATTTTAAAACCTGATATGAACAGTGCAGTGTTAATTTTTCCTATTCTCATCCCTTCATTTCCAGCTCCATGGTAACCTTGAAAACCAACAGACTATGAACACAGTAAAAACCCCAGGCTTGGCTGCCACTAGAGGGGGCAAAAGAGGGTTGGAACTCTCAAAATCCTGTTTCTGGAGAATTGTTATTTTTTTTGACCTGCCTGGTGGTTCCCTGGAAGACCCCATTCTCAAAGCAGTCTTATTTAACTGATTCAGAGATCACCTAGTATGAATAGCTTTTTTCTTAGGGTCATTTATGAAAAACAATTAGGAGCGTTTGTTTAATATCATGGCTGCCTGTGGTAGTGAATAATAGTTGGGGCAAATAACAGCTTAACAGGAAATGCTTGAAATGATGTCCATAAAGGGCTCTGAAGAGCTCTGACACATTCCTGAGTATCTAGAAGGCCATGTGCATGCTGTGGTATGTATGAATGCTCAGGGAAGGCCTAGAAGGTTCTAAGCTCTCACCAGTGTCGGACTTTGAGGCTTCACTTAGGGGAAACTGAAAATTAAAACAGAGTAGTTAACTGTCTAGCTAAATGTTGAAGGCATGTTCAGTATGCACATAGAACCATTTGTCAAAGACTTGGGGGCTTATTGGTTCCAGGCACTTAAGGACATCTCTGTTCAGTTGACCACTATGTTAACAGAGCAGAGACTTCCGTGTCGATACATGTCAAAGAGTGCAGATTTTACAGCACTAGTTCAGAAAAATTACTAAACAAACAATAGAAATAACAGCAAACAGTAACAACAACAAACCCTGGTTGGGGGCAGAGGGTAGAATCCAGGATTGCCATATTACCTAAAATGTTCAGTTTTGACAAAAATTATGAGATATGCACAGAATCCAGAAAGTATGACTCTTACACAGGAAAAAGCAGTCACTGGAAACTGTCTTTGAGGAAGCTCAAATGTTGGACTTGCTAGAGGAAGACTTTAAACAGGCTATTTAAAGTATATCTAAAGAGCTAAAGGAAAACATGTTTAAAGTAAAGGAGAGCTGAAGAATGAGTTTTCAACAAATTGAAAATATCAGTAAAGATAAAAATAATAAAAAGCAGCCAAATCAAAATCATGGAGTTGAAAAGTGCAATAACTGAAATAAAAAGTCACCATAGGGACACTTGAACAGGTGGGAGAAATAATATACAAACTTAAATGCAAGTAATTGAAATTATCTGTTCTGAGAAACAGAAAGGGAACAGAACAACAAAAAATGAAAGGAGCTGGATAGACCTGTGGGATACCATCAACCATACCAGTATTCACATAGTAGGAGTCTTCAAAGAGGAGGGTGGGGAGAAAGAGGGGGAGAGACACAGAGAGAGAGAGAGAGAGAGAGAAAAGAAGAAGAAGAAGGAGGAGGAGGAGGAGGAAGAGGAGGAGGAGGAAACAGGGAGAAGAAGAAAGAAGAAAAAGAAGAAGAAAAAAGAAGAAAAAGAATAAAGGGGAGGAGAAGGAGAAGGAGGAAAAGAATAAAGGAAGAAAGAAAGAAAGAAAAGAGAAAGAAAGGGAAAAGGATGAGAAGTGTCAGCAGAAAAGGGGGAGGAGAGGAGAGAAAAAGGGAAAGGAGAATGGGCAGATGGGATATTTGAAGAAATAATGGCTGAAAAGTTTCCAAATATGATAAAAATATATTAAGGTGGACACCCAAGAAGCTCAATGAAATCCAAGTAGTGCAGACTTGAAGAGATTCACACTTAGACACATCACAATCAAAGACAAAGAGAGACTCTTAAAAGTGGCAAGAGAAAAGTGAATGGCCATGTACAAGGGACCCTTAGTAGGATTAACAGCTAATTCTCATTAGGAACTGTGATTCCAGAAGTCAACTGAATGTTTATTCAAAGTGATGAGAAATAATACTGTCAGCCAAGAATTCTGTGTCCAGCACAACTATCCTCCAAAATTGAAGGTGAAATTAAGACATTACAAGATAAACAGAAACTGAGAAAATGTGTCACTATCAGACTTGTTGTACAACAAATACTAAAGGAATGCTGTAGGCTAAAATAAATGACACTAGAGAGTAACTCAAATCTGCATAAAGAAATAACATCAGTAAAGGTTACTAAATAGGTAAATACAAAAGAAAGTATAAATGTATTTTTTATTTGTAACTTTTTTCTTCTGTATAATTTGTAAGACAACTGTATAAAGCAATAATTATAAATCTATGTTGATGGTCATATGACACATAAGGACAATTCGTATGACAATAACTGCACAAAGGAGAGATGAGGGAACAAAGTTTTATATACTACTGAAATTAGGTTGATATTAATCTCAGCTGGAATGTTATAAGTCAAAATACAGTATTGTAATGACCGGAACAACACTAATACATGACTTAAAAAAAAGTGAAAGAAACAAGGGGAATAAAATAGCAGACTAAAAAAATACCTACTTGACACAAAAGAATGCAATGATTTAAGGATAGAGAAACAAAAAAGACATAGGAAATGGAAAACAAATAGCAAAAAGGCATACATAAATCATACCTTATCAGTAAATACATTAAATGTAAATGTATTAAATACTTCAATTAAAAGGCAGGGATCCGCAGAATGGATAAAAATTATCTAAATATATGGTGTCTACAAAAGACACCCTTAAATTCAAAGAAGCATGTAGGCTGAAAGTAAAATAATTTAAAAATTTATACCATTCAAACAGTAACCAAGAGAGCTGAGTGACTATATTAATATCAGACAAAAAGGCTTTAAGTAAAAACCTGTTACAAAAGACAAATGATGGCATTATATATTAATAAAAATGTCAATTTACCATAAGATATAATGATTATAAACATATAACTAAAATAAACCTAAAAACAGTGTCCCACAACAAATGAAACAAAAACTGACAGAATCGAAGGAAGATATAGGCAATTCAATAATAATAGTTGGAGATTTTCATGCCTCAATTTGAATAGGACAATTGGGAAGAAAATCAGTATGGGACTAGAATACTTCATCAATGCTAAAATTCAACTAGATTTAATAGGCATACACAGAACAGTGCACAAAAAGAATCAGAATAAAATAAGTCTGAAGTATGGAATCCCATATGAAAAGTATAATGAGTTGGGACTGAGAATAATTAGAGAATAGAAAATAGGAAGCCAAGATGGGTTTAAGCAAAAGGAATTTGTAAAAGGCAAAGTGGTTCACATGTTTGTGTCTTCAGATCTTGAAGACATTCAGCTGAGCTTTCTGATATGATTTTCTTTCATCAGGATACACCCCCCACCCCCACTTAATCACCCAAGTCATAATCTCTCCTTCCCCTTTACAGATAAACCCTGGTGTCTAACACATTCTACTTTCATCTCTACCCTCATCAAGAGGTAAGCTTGCAAAAGTGTTGAGACTTTGAAAGACTGAAGATAAATAGCTCAGAGATATCAAATTTGGAAGTATTTAAGAGATTACTAGCCAGTTCTAAAAGGATGGCACCTAAACTGGCAGTCCAGAAACTGCCAGTGTATTCTAAGTACCCTGGCTTGCATCTAAAGCATAGGTTTGTTTCCCATTGCAATACAGAGATTCAGCACTATCCATGCCTATGGGTGCCTGAGCATTTTAGTACAATGGTTAAATGCTAAGTTTTTGCTGTAGAACCACATGTATATATGGAATTAATTTTGCCACTTAATATATGTGTAGTATTGCACAACTTAATCTCTTTAAGCCTTAGAATCTTTATTTGTAATAATAATAATATCTATCTCATTGTGATGTTGTGAGAATTAAATGAAATAATAATGTAAACTGTTTAGCTGAGTGTCTTTTGTGTAAGGAGTTAATATCCTTACCCAGATTAAATGTTCTTTAAAGGAACTAAGCCTCATTAGACTGGGATTTAGATCTCTGTCCAGGAGAAATCATGCTTTTAATTTAGGCAATTTTTTTTTCTTCTGGAATCTTATTGCAACTGGTCAAGCTATATTAGAAACGAAAACCTATTGTACTAACCACTCCCAAAGGACTCATTCCTCCCTGCTAATGTAATCCAGGGAGCAGAGGCATGAAATAGTTAAATAGGAAAAATTCTGACTTGCTCCACACAAGGCAAATACTTATTAACATTACACAGGAAATATCAAGTCACCCTGCTTCCAGCCAATGGAGCAAATCCATTTGTATGTTAGACCCCCCTCAGTTGACCATTTTACAAAAAGTTGTCAAATATAAAACTGGCCTTTTATTACCATAGCAAAAAAGCTTAGAGAAAAGCACAAGCTGAAACTGAAAATATGACCTTGACTCAGGAAAGGAAGTGGCAGATCACAAGGGAAGAAAACAATGTGGGGCCCTAAGAGGGTTAACATAGCCTGGAGGAAGACGAAAAATCCAGAGTGGACCAGAGCTAGGAGTCTTTCTTTACTCTGTCCAGCTAGAAACTTTCTAACATTTCTTAGCAAGGAAGAACTAAAATTGATAGGTTTTTTTTTTTAATGAATACAAGCTTAGATTGTCAATGGAGACAACTATAGCTAGTTTTCAACATAAAGCATGGAAGTCAATCTTTTAAAATTAACTGTTATTATAAAAATCCTGAGTTTAAGACCCCTCCACGCATTGCTCTATAGAGACACCTGAGCTGCTTGAACAGCACTGTCTATTTCAGTTAAGATTCTGGCGCCAGAGTGAGGAAAACCATGTGGGTAGCAGTTTTCAGAGTACTTCTTTAGCCAGTTTACTTCTGCTTAATGACAACAGTGGACTTATTCTCTTGTACACCCTCTGCATCCTCCACTGTAATGAGAAACCCAGACAAATAACTTTTTAAGGTACCCCAAGTTCTAGAAGCCTCCAAGTCTGCCATAACATTGACATAAAACTTTTAATCCCCAACTGGTAGTGAATCTAAGCAGAGGAAAAAAAAAAAAGAGGCAATGTGAAGTGGGTTCCTCCATATTTGGGGAAGGAAACTCAAACAATTTCCTAGTGACCTCATACAGCTTGGGCACAGAAAGGAGTGAGGAATAAAAGGTGATAGAAATAAGATTTACATTGATATATTAGGTGAGGGTTACTGGCCGTGGTCTGCCTTTTCAGTGGAGTTAGAAGCTGCTACAGGATATTTTACCAGTTACAACCTATGTATGTGAGAAGGAGCCTCCTATTGGGAACTTTTCCAAGGTCTAATAAAGCTGTGCTTTGCTCTCTCTGACCTTGGCCCAGCGACAGGTAAGTCCCACAACTTCTACCACCTTATAAACACTGAGATGGGCCATGAGAAAGGAATATAGAGGCTCTATTTAGAGGATTAGGTCAACAAGCAGGCAGAAAAATGTCAAAACCACTAATCTAATTTACTGATGCTCTTAATGGGAGAATATAGGAAAATTTTTTGTCATGTACTGCAAATATGGCTTCAGCACCTTCATCCAGAGAAGCCCAAAGTTAGGGAATTGCACAAAGAACAAGTAGTGTTACTGACCCAGGCAGAGAGTGGAAATGAAGGGAAGAACTCATAGGTGAGCTTGGGTGACAGGCTTCTCTCCTTTCCTTTCTTTTCCCTTCCCTTCCTTCCTTCCCTTCCCTTCCCTTCCCCTCCCATTTTCTTTTCTTTCCTTCCTTCCTTCCTTCCTTCCTTCCTTCCTCTCTCTTTTTTTTTTAGATGTAATTTGAGTGTTTACTGTATGACATGATACTATGTTAAGACTTACGAATAGAAAGATTAATGATGCAAGTCTTGCCATAGACTTATTGAAAGAATTTTATCAAGAACCCAGGTAATGAGTAATGAACAACACCCAGTTCCTACTCTTTGAGAACTCTCAGTTTGCTTTAGCCAACAGTGTAGAATATGGTGGATAAATGGGTACAGTATCACAGGAATAGAGGAAGTAAGTCACTTTCCAAGGGCAGTGAGAAATAGTTAACTAACATGGTGACAGTTGAACTGGGTGAAGGTTGATTTGGAGACACTTATGTGATGGTGTGGAAGGAAGACTTTCTAGCCATGTGGCATGGTATGATAATACAAAAAAGGGTGATGGTTTTGAAGAATGGTGTGGTCTTTAGTCTCACCGGTCCATAGGGTTAGGAGGAGGATGTAGGCATTATTAGAAGATAAAACTGATTAGATCTGCTTGGTGCAATATCATGGAGGGTCTTTCGAAGTAAATTCTTCAATTAATTCTGGCTGCAGGAGATCATGAGGAGCACTTAAGCAAGGATGGAGTGGGGTGAAGACTTGAGTTGCTTTGCATTTTACAAAGATCATTTTGATAACTGGTGGTGGATGGAAACCAAGAGATCAGATAGAAAGTGGTTGCAGTGGTGTGTGAAAAGAGGGGTGTGGGAGTGAAGCAGGAAATGATGAAGGGAGAGCACTCTATATCCACAAGAGGAAATAGACATGTGTATGATTAACTGTAATAGAGTTTGGAGTAAACACAGAGAATTAAAATGAATGCAAGAGGCACAACACCCCTAATGGTGAGGTTCTTTTTAAGCAGCTCCTCATGGGCAGAAGCCTTCTTGATGAAGCAAGTGAAGTGACAACTGCCAATAAGTCTTGGATAAATCTCAACATAGTAGACACCCTGGAGCTTCTGGAAGATCTTAAGATCAGCTGACTAGCAAACAGATTACTAACAAAGATCTCTTCTCTGGCAACAAGGGAGTTGTTTTGGCTTTCAGAAGCCCTTCTTACAAAAACACCCAGAACAAAATAAAATTGACATTTTTTTTTCCCTTTGTCCTGGAAGCTAATGTTGGTTTTGAAGAGGATGGAAAGTCTGTACATCTAAGCTGACCTCTCAGCCAGCTGTACTTGCAAGCCTCAGGCCTCAGTTTTCCCATGGTTGTGAATCGTCAGCAATACTAGGTTCTTCTAGTCCTAGCTATGCTACTTAAGCAATTTGTGACTCTGGGTGTGTAACCTTCCCTCTCAGGATGAATCTGTAACAACAGGAGTTTGTAGTCAGTGCTCTTTTAGATTTTCTCTGAAACTCTTACTCTTTGTCACTCCGGATCTAGCCTGGCATGCATTGGGAATACCAATAAAGGTTTGAAACACAATAATAAGTAAATGGAGCCAGGTGCCTTGGCGGGATCACTTGAAAGATGTTAAGTGCTCATATCATAAAGCCCTGGGGCAGCCTCACTGGTGGCAGCATCCCCTAAGGTTTTTGTCTGTTTTCAGGGTGACATTCTTCTCTCAAGGTTTTGGGGATACAGGAGGTGAGAGAAGACTTTATTCCTGAATCATGGAAATGAACACACTGAAATCAGATCTTCCTTCCCGGTGTGGATTTGTTCCCAGGTGTCAGTCTGCAGCGTTGGGTCACCGACCAGCTGCAATGCTGCACAGGTTGTATTTTTTTCTTTGCAACATTTGGTGGAACGTTTCGGGCTGGGGTGAGGGGAGGATTATCTGAACCAGATGTTTAGGGGCTATCTATCTGACACAATTGAGGAATTAGTTTTAAGTGATTATCCATGTGACCAGTCTTGGAGCACTCACCTTTCTGGGCCAGGAAAGCAAGGCTTGGCTGGCTACATTCTAAGGAGAAACAGCAAGGAGTGTTGAGGACTGTGTGCATGGATATACTTGTGCTTGGAGACTGTTTCCAGAAGACAGTTCAAGAGTCAAGTAAAAGCAACTACAAGAGGTTCCCCAGAAGATGGGTCTCAGATAACTCTGAAGAGACCTAGAGCCAGCGTGACTGAGGAATTGTAAACTGATTCTATGTGCTCAGGATAGCACAGACTTACAGGAAAGTCACTCTTAGGAGGCAACTACTGATGGCTAACGAGGGTCCTGCAGGAAAAGCTACTGAGAATGAACCTGGATGCTGAACATGCCAGCTGAAGGGGTGTGGTTAGGTGGCAGTCAAAGGCCACCTATCCTGCTACCCTCTCAACCTTACATAGTCCCTATAGCCTTGGTTCAATGTGAAACTCAAGTTGTGCTTAAGATACCGGGGAGAGAGGGGTAGGGAATCCTATATTGACTGATATGAGCCTCATGGTGTGAATAGGGGCTTTGAATAAAAACTACATAGAATTTTACAAGAGAAAGGCACATTTCTTGCATACATGGATTCTTGTCTTTTGATTTGCATCTGCAACAAAAATGAGTAAAATGAAGTGAGAGAGTTGCAGTGGCTGGAAGTCCCAGGGGGGTGTTTCAGGGACACTAAAGATGGAAAGGCGTCACAGACAAGGCCAAAATCAAGATTAAAAGATGGCTTCAGCTTAGGTTTTAACACGATGCCAATAAAAGTCTGCCCTTTGGCCCTTATGTTAACCTCAAAAGGCTACATACAAATAGGATGACTTTAAACCTGTAATGGCGGATTTGGCTTCCCTGGGAGGAAATACACAGGCATTATTCTGCTCGTCTTTATTCCCTCTGTCCTCTCTGGCCTACAGTCAAGCAGATTCCCATTTTCCTCTGTGGGAGGGATATTTCACTGGAGAACAACAGCTCATTGAGGGCGAGTGGTGTTCACTTTGAGTCATCCTCGTTGAGGCTTTGTGGATTTGGTTTTATTCAGCCTGTGTTGCCATGACAAAGTACCATAGAGTGGGTAGATTAAACAACAGAAATTTATTTGTCACCATTCTGGAGGTTGGGAAGTCCAAGATCTTGATCTTGGTGCTGGCCAATTTTGTTGCTGGTGAGAGCTCTTTTCCTGACTTGCAGACAGCCGCCTTCTCACTGTGTCCTCACCTGACCTGTGAACTCTGGTGTCTCATTCCTTTCTTATAAAGACACTAATCCTATTGGATCAGGGCCTTACTCTTATGAAATTGTTTAACCTTAATTATTTTAAGTTAGGCCCTATCTCCAAATGTAGTTATTGGGGGTTAGGGCTTCAACACGTGAATTTTGATGGCACAAATTTTCAGACTGTGGTATCATCCCTGTGTGTGGCTAGAATATAGGACACCAGAGGGTGGGTGGAGAGGAGACGTACTGGAACTTCTTTCTTCTACCCCTCCAGCAGGCAGAAACACTGCTTGTCAGCATGCCACCTTTGGTTCTTCACCAAGACCAAAGGAATTCGGAGCCATTTTTATGTGTAGAGCACTGTAATATGTTCGTAATATGTTAACATTTTAAATCTCACAACAGCCTCATACTGAAGAAACGATTATTACTCCAACCTAACAGCTGGTAGATACAGAAAGGTTAATGATCATATAACACCAAGATCTATTCTAAGCATGTTATATGGTTATATATGTTATATGCATTTAGTCTTTACAATATATGTTATATATATATGTTATATGCATTTAGTCTTTACAATAGCCCTAGGAAGTTGTGAAAAAAAATTAGCCAACCTTTAGAAATAAGGCAAAAAGAGGGTTGCACATTCTTTTAAAGTCACACTCAACATTGTCAAATGAGACCGCTATGACCTCTCCAAATATGTCCACACTCTAATTCCTGGGTCCTGTAAGTTGTTGTGTTACAGGTAAAAAGGACTTTGCATATGTAATAAAGCTGATAGAATTTAAGATAGGGAGATTATCCTAGGCTATCAATGTGGACACAGTCTGATCAATTGACCCTTTAAAGGCAAAGAACTTTCTTCAGCTGGTGTGCATCAAGAGCAGAAGGGGAATTCAGAGATTTGAAGGGCAGGAGGGACCTGAGTTGTGTTGTTGGAGAGGGACACATAGAAAGCAGGAGAAAAAAAATGCAAACAGCCTCTAAGAGTAAGGCCACCTGGCTGAAAGCCAGTAGGGAAACAGGAACCACAGTCCTACAACTAAGTATCATGGAGCCTACAAGTGCTTTCTTCCTAGAGCCTCCTGATTAGAGCTCAACTGGCTGACACCTTGGTTTTGGCCTTAGGAAACCTGAAGCAGAGAAACCAATTGAGCCAACCTGGATTTCTGGCCTACAGAGCTGTGAGATAATGAATTTGTGTGTGTGTGTTTTTTAAAGCTGCTGTTTACAGTAATTTGTTTCAGCACGAACAGAAAGCTAATATACTCACTTGAGAACTCTCTAGGGCCAGTGCTGTCCACTAGAACATTGAGCTATGGCCAAAATGCTCCATTCTGTCCTCTCCAACACAGAAGCCACTAGTCACAGCTGGCACTGAGCACATAAAATGTGGCTACAGTGACTGAGAAACTGAATTTTCAGTTTTATCTATTTCTATTTAATTTATATTTAAATTTAAATAGCTACATGAGGTTAGTGGTTACCATATTTGACAGTGCAACTGTAGGGTGTGTACCTGTGTATCACTTACTATTGACTAAATAGGGCCCAGACTCTTTAACTTATTCATCAATGTGTAGGTTTTTGTCTGATTGAGATGCAAATGTTTTCGGTCTAGTGGAAAAGATAAATCCAAAGTTTATGAACGTATTTCCTCTATGACATTAACCAGTTTTGTATCTAATCTAACAATCTTATTCTGATATTCTAGTGTCTATAAAATGTCAGTTCTTCAAATGCTCTTTGAACTACTTTTACCCTGTTGGTTTCCTACTTAATGAGTTAGAGCTTTGAGAGCTATGCAATCTAAATTTGTATGTGTCATGTTTTTAAATTTTCTTTGAAAATTATGCTATTATTAGATACTTCTATTATCCTTGTTTTACCAGTGGTCAAACTGGACACAGAGATGTTAAATTGTTTCTCTCTCTTTTTTTTTTTTTTTTGAGACAGAGTCTCACTCTGTTTCCCAAGCTGGAGTGCAGTGGCGTGATCTCGGCTCACTGCAAGCTCCACCTCCCAGGTGCACGCCATTCTCCTGCCTCAGCCTCCCTAGTAGCTGGGTCTATAGGCACCCACCACCATGCCCGGCTAATATTTTTTGTATTTTTAGTAGAGACGGAGTTTCACTGTGTTAGCCAGGATGGTCTCAATCTCCTGACCTCGTGATCCACCCGCCTTGGCCTCCCAGAGTGCTGGGATTACAGGCGTGAGCCACGGCACCCGGCCTGTTAAATCGTTTTTCTAAGGTCACATAGCTGATGAGGTACAGCCAGTATGACTCCATAGAGCACACTCGTAACTAGTGTACAAAAATGTCTTGGTTTGTTTGAACATTGATTGAAAAACACAACATCAGGGCATCTATGGGGTACACTTCCCGGAATGTGTTTCAAGGGAGCCCTGGAAACAGCGAATGTTCATAAGGCAGAGAGATGCCTGGCTGTGTGGGGTGGTGAGAAGCACCCAGGGTCTAGCACATGAATATTTGAAGGTTGTGCTAGGGAAGGGCTGAGGCTATTTGGTGCTGGCTGTTTTTCTTGATCTGCTAGGGCTAAGTTATTTTGGCTTGGTCTTGGTGAGAAATCTGTAGAGAGAAGGTATCAGAGCTAACAGCAGTAATTAAACAGTTTCCCATTTCATGTATTGTGACATCCATTTGCAGAGTTACACCCAATAATTGTTGGAAAAGATTTCCCTCCTCCCATCATGAGAACGTAAATTGATGGAAGTTGTATTTCTCTGGGAGGTGGCAGATCTATGCAAGGGTGACTTGATCTGTTGCTGTAGCCACGTGTCAGGAAACTCCACCACCAACAGATGAGAGATGCTCTGCTCTCCACACTTAGTCTAACTTTGGATTTCCCCATGCTTCTGTGCTACTTTCAAGCCAGGATCTTTGGGTGACATTTGATAAGTCTGGCCATTTCCCTTAGAATTCCAAATATGTTATTCTCTCAAAAGTGGACCACTATGAAACTTAGTTTCTCTTAAAAAGAGAATTGATTTTTGAAGTATATGGACTTTTATTTATTAATAATTAACAATTAAAAATCATATATATTTTTGGAGTACAATGTGATGTTTCCACACACACACACACACACACACACATTGTGGAATGATTAAGTCAAATTAATTAAAATATCCATCACCTCTCATATTTATCTTTTTGTGTGTGTGGTGAGAATATTTGTAGTCTACACTCTTGGCAATTTCCAAATACACTCTACATTATTTATTATCTGTAGTCACCATGCTGTACAATAGGTATCCAGAACTTACTCATCCTGTCTAACTGAAACTTTATACCCTATGACCAGCATCTATTTGCCCTCTTTCCAGCTTCTGGTGACAATCAGTCTATGCTCTGCTTCTGTAAGTTGACCTTTTTTAGAGTTCACGTGTAAGTGAGGTCATACAATATTTGCCTTTCTGTGCTTGTCTTATTTCACATAATGTAATGCCCCGCAGGTTCATTCATTTTGTGACAAATGACAAGACTTTCTTCTTTTCTTAGGCTGAATAGTATTCCATTATGTTTATATACCACATATGCTTTATCCATTTATCCACTGATGGACACTTAAGTTGTGCCCATATCTTGTCTATTGTGAATAGTGTTG